TAAAACTAAAGCATGCAACAATTATAAATCTTTCAAACAAATGTAAATAATAATTTAAATTAATAAAATCATATTTTAATATAAAAAATTTACCGTTATTGACCTCTCTCATAATTTTGGTTTAACAACATGGTCTTAAAAATATAAATCAAAGTAGTTAATAAAAAGAAAACAAAAAAAATTAAAAATTGTAATTTTTAGGACCAAACTGAAGAAATAAAAAATATGAGAATCAAAGTGTCAATTGATGAAAGATGAGAGACCGGAACAGTTTTCCAATGAAGCACCAAAATTGCATTTTGGTCCAAAATCTCCGACATGAACTCTGTGTCCACTGTACAGTGAAGGTGTCAGTACTTCCTTTCAAGTGTCGACACCCTATGCGATTTTCCGCGAGTCATAGCCCCTCTTTATTTTGGCGCAGGTTGCAGGTCCATATTCTAAACTCTTATATCTAAAATCTTGTAAATACTCTTCCATATGAAAATTGATAAGAGCTTTTTGGAGGCTATTGCTGCCATTTTGTAGCACTCTACAAAACCAAGTTAGAGGTCACAAACAATAGAATTAATGGGTAAATATATATTCAAATATTATCATAAATATTAATAGTGAAAAAATATTAAAAACTAAGAAAATATATAATTTAGTAAAAAATTTTCAAATTCATTTTATTCTATAAATAAATTTAGAATACTAATTCTTTTGTCATTTTCATTGATTATTATTAATTCTTATTTATTTCTCAAAAGAACATAATTAACTCCCTTAAAAAAAAAACCTTAAATTCATCTAAACGTACATACTATTGCTTCTATAAATTATATTTAAATCACAACATATTCAAAAGAAATGAAAGATTGGATTGATTTGAATATTTGTATTTTTAATTATAATTATATATTTTTTTAATATTTTCATATTTCTATTTATAAAATTATTAGATATAGAAGAAAATCTCGTCACAACAGATAACTATAATAATTGTCAATCATTATGTTGTTTATTTAATCATATAACTAAGAAATGTAAAAATTTTTATTTATGATTTGAGAGAAGTAGATAACAGTTAAAATTTTAACTACTATTAATTGAAAAAGATATTTTAGTAGCTTTTTATATTAAATTGTTGATA